CTTCACGGAAAGCGTGGAAAGATGCATCCGTTACTATGAATAGCGACGGATGCATCTTACCACTTTCTTGGGAAAATGCATTCGTTCTTTTTTCGTTTCGACAGTGGTGTATCGAGAGATGGAAATGGGGCTTTCGGGACATCCGTTAAAATTGGAACGATACAGAGAAGGGTGATTAGGATGGCCCCTGCGCAAGGATGACACGCATAAATCGAGAAACGGTCCAAAAAAAAAAAAAAAAAAAAAAAAAAGAGAGATGGAAATGGCAGAAGAAACAGTATGCTCCACAACGAAATTCTGGGAAAAAAAACAAAAATTCGGGCCTCCACTTCTCCGGCGCAACTTCAGCAGGACTTACGACTTCGGGAGCATGGTCCCACTAGCAACGGGGATTGGATTAAGATCCTGAATCTGGGCGTGTTTTAGGCAGAGATGCAGAAAAGGAGTTCAATCTTGATTTTCTGCACTTGTCCACAAACGCAGCCAGATTCAGGCGTTCAATCCAATCCCTCTTTGCTAGTGGGACCTCGCTCCGGGAGGATACTCCGCAATACTACACAGCAAACTGAAGGTGTGTTTGGACCTGATGAGGTCTGATACATGCGCAACGTTCGATCAGTCCAAATGTATTTGGTCTGGAAAAAGCAGTCCAGATACTTTTCAAGTGCTAAGTAGTGGAGCGAAGCGCACTGGGCTGCCAACTGAGGTGGGCTGCCTCAGTTCTTGCCTCCAACCGATGCGGCGGGTACAGCGCAACAACCGCGGCACTACCGGCTTTCTCTTTGAGAGGTGCAGCCAGATCCGCCCCCCCCTCCGCCACCCCTGCCGTCTTGTGCCAAGCTGGCTGCGTCTCGTCTTTTCTCAAGCTGGCCGTGCGCCCAGATGCGCCCCCCTAAGCCCCCTTACCATCTTTTGCCAGGCTGGCTGCATCAGGCGCCAAGGTAGCCAGATGCAGCGTGTTCCTTCTTTTTTTCTTTTTTTTCTTTTTTTAATTATGGTCCGATTGACCACGGATCAGATATTAAACTGATCAGAACAGATACTACACTTGATCTTAGCCAAAAGGTCTGCTCCCCTTGCTTGTAGTTAGCATACGTAGGGTAGGAAGCAAACTTGAACTGTATCCATAGTGATCTTGGTCCGTTGATTGATATTGTCTCTGAAGATCCAAGGGCGCGTGGTGGGAAACCCGTCTTGGCGGTTCGGGCTTCCTTGAGTTTACAGATCGGTGCTTGGTCTCCTTTCTGTAAGATCTTGAAGAGAAGCTGGGTAAGGCTCCCAGAGAGATTAGCAGGAGATCCGGGATATGAATTCCTCAGTAGTTCTTGGCTGTTTTGCTCCCCCTATTCTGAGTCCTCAAACTGAGTCCTAAAAGTTCTGCTCCAGTTGCTCACTTTCTTTGTAGTTGCAGACCAGGGGACGCTGGACCTGGTTTCCAGCACAAGCTTCACTACCGGGTTGAGATGTTGCGGGATTCCCGGCCTCATTCATTTACGTTTATAATATAAGGTGCGTTTAAAAAAAAAAAGGTCTGCTGTGTTCCTAGTTCTTTTTTTTTTTTTTTTTAAGGAAAGTGTGTTCCTAGTTCCAGAGGTGGCAGGAGGTGTAGCGGACCTCGGGTTGGCCTGTGAGACCAGCCCCTTGGCC